TGGGAGCGTGTGAGGCGGCGGAGCAGCGCACGGTGTCGCTGCAGGCTCAGGAAGGGCGGGTGGGCGGCTCCGCCCCGGTGCGGCGGAGAGCCCGGCTGTGAGCGCGGGGGGGCGGCTGGGGCCGGGCAGCGGAGGCGGTGCGTGCGGGCGGCGGCGGGATCCGTGCGGGGCCCGTGCGGGGTCGGAGTTGAGCGTGGGCGATGGGCGAGCGTGTGTGGGGTGCGGTGTTGCGGGTGGTGGCGGTGCAGGCGGCGTGGGCGCTGTGCTCGGGGCAGGTGCGGTACTCGGTGCCGGAGGAAGCCAAGGCCGGGACGGTGGTGGGCCGTGTGGCGCAGGACCTGGGGCTGGAGGCGGGCGAGGCGGAGGCGCGGCGGCTGCGGCTGGTGTCTGCGGGCCGGCGGGCGAGCGTGGAGGTGAGCGGGGCGAGCGGGGGCGCTGGTGGTGAGCTCGCGGCTGGACCGGGAGGAGCTGTGCGGCAAGAGCGCGCCGTGCGCGCTGCGGCTGGAGGTGCTGGTGGAGCGGCCGCTGCGCGTCTTCCACGTGGAGCTGGAGGTCACCGACATCAACGACAATGCCCCCACCTTCCCCGCCGCCCGAAAAAACCTCACCATTGCGGAACTGAACACGCTCCCGGGTTCTCGTTTCCCGCTGGAGGGCGCGTCTGATGCGGATATCGGAGTGAACGCTCAGCTCTCCTACACACTCAGCCCCAGCGAGCACTTCTCCCTGGATTTGCAGCGGAGTGAGGAATACCGTGAATCCTTGTTTCTGGTGCTCACGAAACCTCTGGACCGGGAGACGATGGCGGTGCACCGGTTGTTGCTGACGGCGAGTGACGGGGGCCGTCCGTCTCTGACGGGGACGATGGAGCTGGTGATCTCGGTGCTGGATGCGAACGACAACGCGCCCCAGTTCAACCAGTCGGTGTATAAAGTGCAGCTGCCGGAGAGCGCTGCAGAGGGGACGCTGGTGGCACGGTTGAACGCCACGGATCCCGATGTGGGAAGCAATGGTGAAGTGACGTTCAGTGCAAGCAACACTTTTCCGGAAAAGGGATTAAACCTTTTCTCTTTAAATCCAAAGACAGGCGAGATCCGTCTCACGGGTGCCCTGGACTATGAAGACATCCGTTCGTATGAGATACTAATTGAAGCGACAGATAAAGGGACACCCCCGCTGTCGGGTCACTGCAAGGTGTTGCTGGAGGTGCTGGACGTGAACGACAACGCGCCGGAGGTGCGGGTGACGTCGCTGTCGGTGCCGGTGTCGGAGGACGCGCCGCTGGGGACGGTGGTGGCCCTGCTGAGCGTGTGGGACCGGGACTCGGGGGCGAACGGTGGTGTGCGGTGCTGGGTGTGGCCGTCGGGTCCGTTCGTTCTGGAGGCGACGGTGTCGGGGTCGTACTCGCTGGTGCTGCGGGAGGCGCTGGACCGGGAGCGGGTGTCGGAGTACGAGGTGGAGGTGCGTGCGGAGGACGGCGGTTCTCCGGCGCTGGGCGCCCGCGTGGGGCTGCGTGTGCCGGTGTCGGACGTGAACGACAACGCGCCGGCGTTCGCGCAGGCGGTGTACACGGTGCTGGCGCGGGAGAACAACTTGGCGGGCGCGGAGCTGGCGCGGCTGTGGGCGCGGGACCCGGACGAGGCGGGCAACGGGCGCGTGAGCTACTCGTTGTGGGAGGGCGCGTTGGGCGGGGGGTCGGGGTGGTGGTGGTCGGGGGCGTCGGTCTCGGTGGGGGGTGTTGCGGCGTCGAGCTACGTGTCGGTGGAGGCGGAGAGCGGTGTGTTGCGGCCGCTGGACTACGAGGAGGTGCAGGTGCTGCAGTTCGAGGTGCGTGCGGTGGACGCGGGGGAGCCGGCGCTGTGCGGCAACGCGACGGTGCAGCTGTTCGTGCTGGACGAGAACGACAACGCGCCGGCGCTGCTGCCGGCGGCGGGCGGCGGGGCGGCGGCCGGGGCTTTGTCGGGGGAGGTGTCGTCGGCTGTGGAGGCGGGGACGCTGTGGGCGTGGGCGCGGTGGGGTTCTCCGTCGGGTCAGGTGGTGGCGAAGATCCGCGCGGTGGACGCGGACTCGGGCTACAACGCGTGGCTGCGCTACGAGCTGTGGGAGCCGCGGGGCAAGAGCGCCTTGTTCCGCGTGGGGCTGTACAGCGGCGAGGTGAGCACGGCGCGGGCGCTGGAGGAGGCGGACGGGCCTTGGCAGAGGCTGGTGATCGTGGTGCGGGACCACGGCGAGCCGGCGCGCTCGGCCACGGCGACGCTGAGCGTGTCGCTGGTGGAGGGCGGCGAGGCGGCGCTGGCGGCGGCGGCGGCGGGCTCGTCGTCGCTGCTGCCGCGCTCGTTGGCGGGCGGCGAGAGCGGCTCTGGGCCGGCGGCGGCGTCGGCGGCGACGAACGTGTGGCTGGTGGTGGCGATCTGCGGCGTGTCGAGCCTGTTCCTGCTGGCCCTGGTGCTGTACGGGGCGTCGCGCTGGGCGCCGCGGGCGGCCGTGCTGTCGGGGCCCGGGCCCACGACGCTGGTGTGCGCCAGCGAAGTGGGCAGCTGGTCGTACTCGCAGCGCCACAGCCGGAGCCTGTGCGTGGCGGACGGCGCGGCCAAGAGCGACCTGATGGTTTTCAGCCCCAACTTCCCGGCGCCGCGGCCAAGGACACGCAGCCGGAGCCTCCCGCTCTCCTCGACACGGTCAGTG